TAATAAATTCGAGGTAGTTCTGGAACCTGTGAAGTAATTAGAAAGCAATGCTATTCCCAAACTGATGAGTAATCATTAGTTTCATTTGCATCTTTTAGCCTAATTTAAACCTAGACTGTGGTCTCATAGAGAAAGTACCAAAAATTCTTGGGAATCATGTAATTTTAGAAAAACAGGGGACCATTGAAATCATTTATTTTAAAAATCTCTTAACATTCCCAATGAAATTGAAGATAAGTGATTTGTTTGCTGGTACAGTCCACGTCAGTGGTGAAGCCAGAACACAGTGGAGCCAGGACTTCTCCTACTGTGTTTGCTACCTCTTGTTTAGCCTAGTTAGGTCTTAAAAGGGTGACATTCTAGTTCCATTTTCCAGTCTCAGGCTAGGGTTAGCTTGTAAGTGCTTAAAGATGCCCCTCTGGTTAACTTGGGTGTTATTATGTGTATGGTTCAATGTTCTTCATCTATCAAAATTATTCCAGGGTAAAGGAGCATAGAATAGGCAAAATAATTGCCTGAGAGCTCAAATTTCACGGCACATACTATTTTTTACAAAACAAGAGCAGCTTGGCAGATTATTCATTTCTTCTCAGTGGTTTCTTCAAAGCTAAAAATAAGTTGGGAAGGAAAAATGTCATTTTAGCAATCTTTAATGATCACAGCGATTTTGGGAGGCAAGGGCAATGAACCCAGGACAAGCACACTGCCACACTGCCATCTTACCACACGTGGACGCTGCCTGGTGCTCCTGCGCCTTTGTCTAAGTAACTCTTCTTAACAACGTGGCTGCTATACTGAAATCCCTTACTACTGGTTATTATTCCTCAGACTAATAGTACTAGTAACTTTAAAAATAATTGAGTCTATGATTAAGTTCATGCTCATAGCCACAACACTCCTATGAGGTAGGATGAACAGTTACCATTATTCACATGTAACAATGGGAAACTTAAGGCACACAGAAGTTAAGCCAATTTCTAAAGTTCACAGCTATCTGATGGAAAAGTTAGGGTTAAAATTCAGGTCTTTCAACTTCAAGCTAAACTTCTTTCTTATAGACATGTTCCTTTGATTTTAACATTAAAAAAAGAACCTTCCTTGGTACTTTTCTTGTAACATATGAATTTGTGAATATGACTGTTTCTTCTTTTGATTATAGGCATCATTTATCCTTTACATCACCTCACATAGTTCCTTGAACATAGTAAGCGGTTAATAAATGTTTTAACACAAGAATTGCTCTTTATAGGATGGATGTTATCCAAGGTAGGGCGGTGAGGCATTATATACAATTAGTTTAATTCTTTCTCTTTTGTCTCCACTGCAGAGCTTCTGGTATAATTAGCAGATGCTGGTCAGGCTAATTGTATGGCCTGCATACAGTTTATGCAACCATCACTGAGTTATCAGCTTAAAATGCCAGCTTCAATTCTTCATTAAAAACATGAAGAGGTAGTATTTTTAATATGAAACAAATGGTTTCCATTTTCAGAATTATATTAAATTTCTTGGATTAATATTATGTGTCAACTTGACTGGGCTAAAAGGTGCCCAGATAGAGCTGTTGAAACATCATTTCTCAATATGTATTTGAGCATGTTTCCTGGAGAGATTAGCATTAGAACTGGTAGACTAAGTAAAGAAGATCCTCTCACCCACGTATCCTGGCATCATTACATCTGTTGAGGGCCCAAATAGAACAAAAAGGTGGAGGAAGGGTGAATTCATTCTGTTTGAATTGGGACATCCATCATCTCCTGCCCTCGGATATCACTGCTCCTGGTTCTCAGGCTTTCGGGCATAAACTGAATTACACTGTTGGCTCCTGTGGTTCTCAGGCCTTTGGGCTTGGACTGGACCTACACTACTGGCTTTCCTGGGCCTTTAATTTACAGATGGCAGATGGTGGGACTTCTCAGCCTTCATAATCTCAACCCAATCTCTTGTAATAAACTTCTATCTATCTATCTCTCTCTCTCTCTCTCTCTCTCTCTCTCTTTCTCTATCATCTATTTATCTCTATCTATCTATTACATATCTATCTATCTATTATATCTAGAGTTCTCTAGAGAAACAAAACCATATCTATCTCCTATTGTTTTTGTTTCTCTGGAGAACTCTAATATAATCTTTCTTAAGTTTTGTCATGCACCAAGCAATGTTCTGAGCTCTTCATATAAGCACACCTTTATAACCTCATAAACTTGGAGTTGGTGCTGTTATTATGCTCATTTTTACACGAGGAAATGGAGACTCAGAAAAGGTTAAATAACTTGCCCAAGATCTTGCTGCTAATAAATGGAAGAGACTAGGTCCGTTTGATTCCAAAATCTAAGCTACTATTACTACTATACTATATTTTACCTATAGTTTTGTAACTCTGACACAGCAAAATTTTCCCAGATGGCTAAAATACTCCCTATTCTCTCTCTCTCTCTCTCTCTATATATATATATATATATAATTTATTTATTTATTCATATTTTTTTGAGACAGAGTCTCGCTCTTTTGTCCAGTCTGGAGTGCAGTGGTGTGATCATGGCTCACTGCAACCTCCTCCTTCTGGGTTCAAGCAATTCTCCTGCCTCAGCCTCCTGAGTAGCTGGGACTACAGATGCCTGCCACCATGCCTGTCTAATTTTTTTGTATTTTTAGTAGAGACGGGGTTTCACCATGTTGGCTGGTCTCGAACTCCTGATCTCAAGTGATCCACTGGCCTTGACCTCCCAAAGTGCTGGGATTACAGGCGTGAGCCACCATGCCTGACTTATTTATTTTTTTGAGACAGGGTCTCACTCTGTCACCCAGGCTGGGGTGCAGTGGTGCTATCACAGATCACTGCAGCCTCAACCTCCCTGGGCTCTGGCCATCCTCCCACCTCAGCTTTCTGAGTAGCTGGGCCTATAGGTATGTGCCACCACACCCATCTAATTTTTGTAGTTTTTGTAGAAATGGGGTTTCACCATGTTGCCAGGCTGGTCTGGAGCTCCTGGGCTCAGGTGATCCCCCTGCCTCAGCCTCCCAAAGTGCTGGGATTACAGGCATGAGCCACTGCACCCTACCATTCTAGATATTAAATAATTTCGTGTAGTTACTCCAAATACAGACTATGTTCTGTCATGTCTGACTAAAATAAAAATTTAGCTTAAGGAAACTCCTTTCTGCAGACATTATTTGTTCTAGCTCCGAGATTGTATCTCCATGCTGCTTACTTTAGGTTGCAATATGTTCCCAACACCCACCTTTCAAGTTTTTAAAATGGCATTTCAATTTTTTCTTCAGTTTGTATGCTCAGCCACCTGTGCGCTTCCTCTACTTCTCTAAAGTGAAGAAAAGGAAAAAAATAGTTTTTCTTTCCAATATAATGTTAGTAGAGAGGTCTGGATTTTTGGATTAATATACTGTAAGAAGCAGCTAATTGATTACAAATCCCACTGGAACACTCCCCCGGGGAATGAAGGTTCCGGTTTTTTTTACTCTTCCTTTTATCTTCTACTCTGTTTCAGCTGAGAATCCACCAAACTAGGATTGAGTCAACCAGTGAAAGAATTCTAAGCAAGAAGGGATTGCACTGATGCGTTCCACTGCCTCCTTTTCAGAGAGACAAATGTAAGCCCACAGACTGATTACTAAAGCAGGTGTATTTTTATCTGTGCTGTCTTCTTATTCGAGACTCTAAGCTAGTCATCAAGCCAATGGTATAACTGATAGCTGACGGGAGTTTCTGGAATGGGTGTTAAGTGTGAGAGACATGAAGTGGTAAGGTCAGCTCTAAATGTATTTTTACTTGGATTCCAATCTACTGATCAGCTGTGTGCCCCTGGGCAAGTTACGTAACTTTTCTGTGGCACAATTTCCTTTAAGGAGGGCGTATAATAGTATCTATTTCACACGGTTATCGTGAGGATTAAATGAGCTATTCTACCAAAAGTATTAAAGCTGTGGTTAAACTCTCATTAAACATTAGTTATTTCTACCAAAGTTAAACTGCCAAATCCTTGAGTCCTGATTTGTCCTCATAACTGCTGTGGCATTCCTCCTCTTTTAAAGTCTTCTTAACAGAAGTTGACGTTTGCATTTCAAAGGAGCTCAAATGGCTTACTTTTACGAAGTTTGGGGCAAATGGATCCTATATACACGAGACCCGCCAGGGCATGTAAACCTGGCGGACTTCAACAGTCTGGGGGTGACTGCGCTCAGGGGGTGAAGGGATGCTTAGAAACTGTCTTTCTCGGGAAGAAGATGAGGCCTTCAACGAGGGTGGCTGGCTACCAAAGAACTAAACTTTCACACAGCAAAGCGGAGCCGGTCTCCCTGCGCCCGCGGGCGTCGAACCCAGGCCCAGCTCTCACCACCCAAAGGCCCGGGTGCGGCTGGAGGGTGACGAAAGCGTCAGACCCCGGGGCCGCTCTCAGCTTTGGGCTTTCACCCGGCAGTCTCACAGACAAAGGGGCTTCTCAGCCAGGTCGCTGTTCTGGTTTGTCGTCCTCCCAGCCCCCACCTTGGTCCCCAACTTCCCCCGGCGCCGACTCGGCGGCGCCCCTCACATCGCCCCTTTGGCCGCCACCCCGGGCCCCTTTGTTGTCTGCCGTCTCTCCTAGAGAGGGGTGGGGGGCCGCGACATTCCAGGGAGGAGAAACCGAGAAGTGAGGGCAAAGACGCTCTTACATGCTCCCACCCGAGGAGCGCGCCCCACGACGCTCGCCAGCCGCCCTCCGTCGGCAGCCCCGGCCGCGCCTCAGCGCCCTCGCCCGGGTCCTCGGCACAGAGGAGGGGCGTGGCGCGGCCGGCGCTCTCTGATTGGCTGCGGGCGTCAGGGCCCCGCGCCGCGATTGGGTCGCGCAGCTGTCTGGAGCGAGAGCGCGCGAGGTGGGGAGGGGGCCGCTGGAAGCTGCTGGAAGTCGGGGGCGGGGGATGCGGCGGGGGCGCCGGGGCGGGGACGACTGGGCTACGGCAGGAGGGGCCGCGCCTGTGCAGGGCGGTCGGGAGCGACAGGCGCGGGAGGCGGTGGCGGCGGAGGGGGAGGTGCGAGCCGGGCGCCGCCCCCGGCCCCTCCCCGGCCCTCCCCGCTCAGCGCTCAGACCGCGGGCGGCCCAGGGGCGGGCGCGCCGCTGCATCCCCATCCTCGTCGTCGCCCGGCACAGCGCGAGCGGGCGTGCGGCGCGGGCGGCCGGAGCGCCGAGGCCCGGCCATGGCCACCACCAGCACCACGGGCTCCACCCTGCTGCAGCCCCTGAGCAACGCCGTGCAGCTGCCCATCGACCAGGTACCCCGAGGCGCCCTGGCGCCGGGCGTCGCGCCCTCGCCGCCCCTCCTCCCTGCCGCGGTGCCACCCGACCGGGGGCCCGGGAGGAGGGTGGGGGCTGGGGCCGGGCGCCCGTTGCCCCCCTGCCCGCCGCTCCCTGGAAGGGAGGGGGCAACAAGCCGGTTATTGTCCCAGAGCCCCCTCCCTCGTCGGTGCGCCCCCAGTCCCCCAGCCCCCCAGTCCCGGGCCTGGCGGGGGTGGGCCGGGCATTGTTGCCAGCGACAGCCCCCGGGGAAGGTGGTCGTATGGGCATGCGGGTGTGCATGCCGTCCCTGCCCTCCGCGGCAGCGGCGCTCGGATTCGGTGGTCGGGTCCCGGAGCAGCCCCCGGTGTGCATGGACCGGGGTGTAGAAAGGGTGCGGAAGGCTGGGCTTTGGTGAGCCCGGCGTGGTGCTGCCTGCCCCGCGCGCGCCTCTGAGCGACCCCTGGAGAGGCTGATGCGTGAGTCTGGGTGTGCTGGGTGCCTTATAGACGGCGTCGATGGGTGCGAGGGGCCCGGAGAGGCTTAAGCGCTACTGCACTTTGGGGACAGTTTGCGTTGGATTGTGGCTTAAGAGAGACAGAGGCAACAGTTTGGGGGAAGGCAGACAGGTTATGAAGAAAAGTCAGAGGGAGTTCATCCCAGGATTCTAGCTGAGAAAGTGGCAACCCTGTAGATTGATACAACCACCTTACCTCCTTGCTCAACCCTCAAAAAAGCTCTTGACAGTGTCTAGGGAAGGGTGGCATTTAAATGAGGCCAATCGAGTTTGATGGTTTAAAGGGCCTAAGGATTACTGAGAAATAAACAGCATTGTGATGGGAAAGCAGCGCCATTTTCACTGAGAAAAGAAAGTTTGGAAGTATTTTGTTGTGAGAGTGAGATTTAGGGAAGTTGTTAATGGGGCTGGGGGGCGGGCGGGGGTATAGTTAGGTGATTGCTCTAGCCCCAGTCTAAAGGTAGTTAACTTTGGAAATTTTGCTTACAATTATTTCAAGTGTACTTAACCTGGAAGTGTTTGCACTTCACACGGGATACAGGTTCACTGTCTTGAACTTGAAGGTGCTGCTGTCATTTAGTCTTCAGGGATTTCATTTCGATATGGGATTCCTTCTTGTCCAGACGGCTTTCCATAGCAGCAAGCTGGAAACCTGACATTAGGATACTAGCTGCTTTGTGCTTTACTGTTTTAAATAAAGTCGCCTTAAGTATGTCGAAGGAGTGTTAAACAATTGTGGCTTCTGTTGAAATTCCACATCGCAGCCATAACTTCTGATTAATAGTAAAGTACTTATCCCCCACCTGTCTTGAACAACAGTTCTAATGTGTGTCTTGCTAATGAAGTATGGTAGTGAAATTGATCGTGTATTTAAAGAAAATATTATTCTCTCTTTATTAATAAATTGACCAGAATTTAGGGTTTTTCATCCTCTCGGCCCTGCGGAGGATTCTTGCTGACGTTTCCGCACTGGTGTGCAGTGTATGACCTTTTAGCGTATCACACTCCTGCCTGAAATAGGCTGCTTCCAGTGTATCAGCAAATGCAGGGTGGGTGTCTGTTGAAAAGTTCCTTGCTGATGAGGAGCAAGGGAGATAGGTTTATACACTTACATTTCTTTCAGAGAGATGGGCACATATTCACGTTCTCTTTTTCTCTCCCCCCTTTCTTTCCCTTTCACTCCATGTCTGCTGGAGCCCTGCCTGTCCCTGCTATGCTGAAATATTTTCTTAAATATGCTAATAATACCTATTCATTTATATAATGCTTATAACTTTTTAGAGTGATTTTATATTAATGAACTCATTTAAGCATCCAGAGAAAGTTCTTTTCAGTACTGAAATAAGCAGGAGAATGAAGGGAAAGTGACAGGACTTAAAATTTTTGACATCCTTCTTTATTAGCTAAAGGTCTTAAGTTGGTATCTTGGGACTACTCTAAATTTGTACAGCCATGTGTAACCCTGACTTTGTGTAGCACAGTCGTGCACTGCATAGTGACATTTTGGTCATTAGACCGTATGTCTGATGGTGGTCCTATAAGATTATGATGGAGCCGAAAAATTCCTGTTGCCTAGTAAAGCTGTAGTCATTGTCATGTCATAGCACCACGCATTACTTAGGTGTTTGGGATGATGCCAGTGTAAACAAACCTACTGTGCTGCCAGTCCTATAGAAATCTAGCACATTGTGTATAAAACTACACAGTTAGGTACAGTACATAATATTTGATAATGCTAAGTGCATCACTGCTTTATGTATTTACTATACTTTTTATTGTTGTTTTAGAGTATACTCCTATTTATTAAAAAAAAAAAAAAAGTTAACTGTGGAACAGCCCGAGGCAGGGCCTTCAGGAAATATTCCAGAAGGCATTGTTATTATAGGACATGGCAGCTCCATGCGTGTTATTGCCCCTGAAGACCTTCCAGTGGGACAGGCTGTGGAGGTGGAAGACAGTGATGTTAATGATCCTGACACTGTGTGGGCCTAGGCTAGTGTGTGTGTTTGTGTCTTAGTTTTTAATTGTTTTTTAAATTAAAAAAAATTAGTAGAAAAAAGCTGATAGAATAACAATATACAAAAAGAGTATTTTTGTGCAACTGTGCAGTGTGTTTTATGCTATTATAAAAGAATTAAAAAGTTAATAAAGTAAAAAAGTTACAGTAAGCCAAGGTTAATTTATTATTGAAGAAAGGAATATGTATTTTATAAATTCAGTGTAGCCTAAATGTAGAGTATTTATGAAGTCTACAGTGGTGTACGGTAAAGTCCTGGACCTTCGCATTCACACACTACTCACTCACCCAGAGTGACTTCTAGTCCTTCATGGTGAGTGCCCCATGCAGCTGTACCATTTTAAATCTTTTATGCTGTATTTTTACTGTACCTTTTCTATGTTTAGATACATACATACCTACTATTGTGTTACTTACTATGGTATTCAGTACAGTATGCTGCTGTATAGATTTGTAGCCCAGGAGCAATAGCTGTACCATCTGGTCTAGGTGTGTAGCAGGCTATGCCATCTAGGTTTGTGTAAGTACACTATGGTGTCCCCACAGCAACAAAATTGCCTAATGATTTTTCAGAATATAGCCCCATCATTTAGTGACACGTGACTGTACTTTGAGTTGTTTTCTCTTTGAGCAAGGCTTTAAAATACTGGATTAACTTTTTGTAGTGATAATAAATTGTTTCTTTGAAGCACTTAAGAGTTGACTTTCTTGTTGATGAAGCCGTTGGAATAACTAAATCTCAATTTTGTAAAATTGGATGACTGAAGTCATTTATCTATTATTTTTAAATTGAGCAAAATAGAAAATTTTTATAATGTAAATAATTTATTTCAAGTTGAGAGAAGGCTTATGAATTTGTTATAATCGGATAGTGTGATTCAACAGGAAAAAGACAAATCAGGAAATGAAGAGTGTAAAAATATAACTTGTTAGTATGTTAATTTGGTATTTGCTAATTAACAATGTTTTGAAAAATTAGGAAATTATAAAAGCAGTTGTTTGATGTCTGAGGAAGAAAAGGATTTTAGTGTAAGAAAAACAATTGACTTTTTACTAGGTAAGTGTGGAATTTATGAGATGATAGAAATTATGGGTCTGCATGGAATGTAAGAATGCACCTTGCAGGGCAAGGTAGCAGAAAGGAGGAAGTGTTTTGTGGTTAGGCTGAGGCCAGGGAAGGAAAAGAAGCAAAAGACTACTTTGCCGTAGACTCCTGGGCTGTTTCATCTTTACTGAGAATTCCAGAGGTATTCGAATTTAGGTAGCCATAGTATTTGTTCAGTAGGCCTTAAATTTTAATAAAAATATAGAATCTATTAAGTGAGGTTATCTGATGCTTTAAGATAGGAAGTATCCAGCATCTGATGTTTGCCTTTCTAGGCCTTGTTTTCCAGATGACTTTATTTCTAGGGTAATGTTTGGTAGGTGGCTATGATTAAAGGAATGTATGGAGAGTGGGTTTTGAAGAGGGAATTGTACTGAGAAAGAGCTGTGCCAAGAAAAGGCCCAAATGTGCTATTTAGACGACATCAGGAATCACTGAAGGTATCTGTGTTCTTTATTATTAATAGTTGCTGATGTGCTGGATTTTTAAGACTCGAAAGCGAGTACCAAAATGAAACAAGAAAATAATTAAATGTCCCAGATCAACCTATTTTTTAGAGTTTTTATTTTTCAATCTTAACATACTCTATACTCTATTACATTTGATTTGCCTAACTCCAGGTTACCAGACTGAGGTTGATATCTAGCCTTTTCCCTCTTCCTCCCTCCCTCCCACCTCTTTCTTGCCTTTTTAACCATTTTCTGTCCTTATTTCTCATGATGCTGTAATTACTGCTATGAAACTAGAGTAAATTTCTCTAGTGATGTGATATCCAGGATGGCATACTTGGCAGAAGGCCAGTTAGGGATGAAACTGGCCTGTATAAAGTCATTGAGCAGCCGTGTTTAGGGACAGGGGTCATTGTTTTAGCGATAATGTGCTGAATTCTGGGCAGGGAGAGGGGCAAGATGGAGACTCAGGATCTTTTGAAAGGTTTGGAGGGGGAAGGGGAAGGAGGAACGGTTATATGTTACTAATCCTGCAAAGTCAGATAATAATTATAATGTCTAACACTTAATACAGTTTTCAAAGCTGTTTCACACAGATTATATTATTTAATCAAATCCTCACAGCACCTTGTGAAGTCAGATAAAGTTCAAGGCCTGAAGTATTTAGCTTCACGGGTGTGTGTGCATGCATGTATGGTATTTCCTATTTGAATAAAAAAGGTCAATTTTAGTTTATAGTCTTAATAATATACGGCAAATATTTTTGGTAGATCATTATTTTAGATCATATTTTTGGAGGGAAAGGTGGAGAGCAACTGAAGGTGCCTGAAGTCAACACTGAAGGGCTAGGGGTTGTGGTTGACACAGGGAAAATAATGATGTGTGTAAGGGAGAGAAAGCATTGTGGGCTT